GGTCACCAACACACGGGTGTCCATGGCCACCAAGTGCTGCTTAGGGCTGGGGGGACCAGGGCACTGCCAGGTCCAGGCTGAGTAAACTCCTTGCAGCCTCCTGGATGTGCCAGCATGGGCGAGGAGATCCCACAGCCTGACCTGGGGGGACAGGCAGAGAGCTCAGGGGACCTGTCCCCCCTTTTCCATGCGAGCCAACAGTGCTGCTAAAGCAGCAGCTGGGCAAAGCCAGGCCAAGACCTTCAGTGACACCCTTCTCCATCCCTCTGGGAGCCTTTGCCCTGTGGCACAGGGAGAGGCTGTGTGGTGTCCCCGTGGTGGTGGTGAGGGCTCTGGCAGGGCTCCTGGATGCCCCCAGGCCACGGGTGGGGTTTTTCCTTCCCCTGAAGCAGGGGCTCAGACCTTGCCTGCAGCCCCAGAGCGGGTGGATGCGGGGCTGTTCCAGCACGCCTGCCCCATGCTGCGTGTAGGAGAGGCTGAGCTCAGCCAGGAATGCTGACTTGGATGGGATTCCTGGGGCAGGAGCTGCCCGGCTCTATAATCTGTGATGAATGCACTTGCTCCCACATGCCTATGTAGAACCAGAGCCGTACATACCTTCGCCTACACGTGTTCGTGCACCCACCGCTGGGCACACGCAGCCTCTGGGTTAATGCCCAACGAAGCCTTCCTAAAACTGGCTGCAGGATGCTGCCCAGAAACGGGCTGCTGGGTGCAAACCCAGGCACATCGTCCCTGTGCATGCCACCAAATGGTGTATGGCTGAAGGTCCTGTGCAGGATGCTCCCTGTCTACGCCCAGCCCTCCCTGGATGGGTGGGAGGACATCCCCACGGTCCTTTTTTTGGAGAGGTCTCCTTGTAAGTGGCCTGCTCCCAGGGCCAGAGCCATCCCAAGGTGGGACTGCAGCCTTGGCAGCTCAGCGCTGGGCGCCTGTCCAGCTGGTCTGTGAAATTGGGTCTGGATGAGGCTCTCCTTGGACCTAACAGTGGTTTTTAGCCCATGCAGCACGTCCCAGTGCTGAACTAAGAGGTTGAGACTCTTTGGAGCTCTGATCCCTTTGCAGCTCTGGCCTGCAGGTCTCCTTTTGCTGGGTGCTTCTCTAGACTTGCTTGGAGAGCCTCTTCTCCCAGGCCCCAGCACGGCTTTTGCTGGGCAGCCCCACTTTCCTGGGCTTCTGCTTTCACCCAGTTCTTTCCCACCCTCTGAAACTGTTTTCCCTTGTGCCCCGCGACCTGGGAGACCCAACCACACCTTAAATCACTCCTTTGATAAAGGACTGGGTGACTCACCGAGAGTGCTTCTCCCTGGCCCTCCTGCCACAGCTTGGGACCTTATTGAGCTCATTTGCAAGGCAAACAGCTCTGCCAGCCCCGTGCTGGGTGCTGGGTGCCCAGCTGAGCACCCTCCCAAAGCACACCCTCCATCCTTCCTCGCAGAGGGGACTGGTTTTGGCCGTGGGGTCACTGGGCATCTCCAGTGGGATCCTCTGTTCATACAGGCTGATAGGAAGTGTCTCCAGGTGTTGGCCACCAACTTCACGTTGAGGGATGTACCCCCCTGTGCTGGTGCTGTGACATCCCTGTGTCCCAGCGAGCTCTTCCCCAGAGCTCCTGGGGGTTCTGGGGTGTCCTGGCTGATGTGGGTGTGAATGTCAACTAAGTGCCAACCCACTGGTGCTCACGGGTGGTGCTGGGGGGCACGTGGGGCTCTGTCCATCTATCCATGGGACACTCCACTGGTGGGAGGTGCAGGAGAGTCTGGAGACACTGGCACTGAGTTCCTCCATGGCCACATCTGCAAAATGCCCCAAGAGGCTGGGGAAGGGGAGAAGGGTCTGAGGAGAGCACGGGGAAGGAGGTGGGGTCAGTGCTGGAGATGTTTCCTCCTGCCTGGCTCTGCTGCAGCTCGTGCTTCACCTTAAACCCATTAACCCCAGTTAAGTCACTGGTTTTGTCTGGCCCAGAAGCAGCGGGTCTGGGAGCTTCCCAGCCCTGCCATGGGCTGGGTAGGGTCTGGTGTGGGACTGAGCCATAGAATCATAGAATGCTCTGAGCTGGAAGGGACCTCAAAGGTCACCTAGTCCAACCCCCTGCAGTGGGCAGGGACATCCCCAACTCACCGGGTGGTTCAGAGCCCATGGAGCCAGCACTGAGGCACTGGGTGCTGTCTCTGTCCTCACCTTCAGAGGGACTGGGTGCCACCTTAGCTCCACCACGGGAGCAGCAGCTTTCCCTTGAGCCCAGGGGGGCTGGACTCACACAGCACTGACTTCCCTCAGCAGGGGGGTGTCCCCTGGGCAAAGGTGCCTTGAAAAGCAGCAAGGAAGCAGAATCAAGCCCCTTATTAACACTAAGCCTCAATTTATTTGGTTTTATTTTATTTTTTGAAGTGCTTTCTTCCTTTTGCAGAGGACACTTGCTGAGGAGGGTGGAGGGGATCAATGGTGGAGGTGGGGAGAGCCCCACAGTCCCCAGCTAAGCCTCCTCTGCTCCCAGTCCCCCCCAAATCACACCGTAAAACATCCCTGGGCACAAACCCTTCCTCCTGCACACCCTCCCTGCAGTGGGCATCTGCTCTTGAGGAGGAAAAACATCCTGGGTGGGAAGCGTGCTCCAGTGCTGGGCTAGGTGGGGGAACAGCGAGCCAAAAAATACCCAGACTAGCCAAAATGCTAAATGGGGATGAGGGGACAGGGTGGGTGCTTTGGAGATGCCAGAAGTAGGTTTGTGGACATGGGAAGGTACCCAGGAGGAGTTTGTGAGGTGTTTTGGCCTTCTCTCTTGGCTTGATTTGAGGTTACTCCTGGCTGGGAGGTGGGGAAGGGCTCTGTGGGGCTGCCCGACCTCACTGGTGTGCTGCTGCAAATTCAAGATGTTGAGGAAATGGCAGCTTGAAACAGTCTGGGACAAAAGCAGCAGCATGGGGACATGGGGTTGGTGCTGAGCAGCAGCTTTGCCAGGGCAGTGTCACTGCAGGGAGCTGGTTGGTGCAGCTGCTTTGCTGCTTAGGAACCACTGCTGGTAACTCCTGGGAGATCTGTGCTTGGGGAAAGGGAGCTTTTGGGACTGAGTCTGGGCTGGGGGAACAGCTGCTGATGTGGGGTGCCCTGGGGGCCATCATCCAGGCAAAGCAAACCAGTGGCCAAGCAGGGAAAGGAGCTGTGAGGCCTCGATTTGGTTCCTGCTCCACTGGGATGGACGGGGTGATGCTGTGAGCCCGGGGAGCCACCACGGTCAGGAGTGACCCCATCTTGTCTTGTGTCCCTGATAAACCAGCACCAAACGGTGTGGGCTCCAGAGGGGAGCAGAAAGGCAGCGTGGGTGCCTGTGCTTGCCGGGGGATGCGTGACCCCATCCCTGGGGGGCCCCCAGAACCTGCTGGAGGCTCTGGGACCAGCACTGTGGGCTTGCAGAGGGGCAGGGCCAGTGGCAAACCTGCCTGCACGGCGGTTGGCTGTTGCAGGTGAAAGAACACCTTTGGTAGCTGGCATTGTGACTGCAGGTGGATTTGCAGGGTGGAGCAGTTCAGGGAAACGCAGCTGGTTAAAGGGTAACTCCAGCACTGCCGGGTCAGGACGAACCCGGCTCTGCAGGGAGGAGAAGCACACAAGGCCAGGAGCACCTTCCTCCTCCCAGAGCTGGGGGAAAGCTGCAGTTTTGTGCCTGCCCTGTGTTCACTCACTTTGCTGTTATTCCCCCCTGAGGGCTCAGTGCCCATCCTGCACCCCGAGCCAGAGAGGCTGACCCCGTGCCTGACACCGAGCTCTTCTCCTCCTCCTCTTCTTCACCTCCAGAGGTTGATGAGCTTTGCAGTGGCAAGCTTCCAGCCTGGATTGGGGCTCCCTTTTTCCCAGAGCACTCCTTCCCTGGACCATGGCATGCTGGAGCTCCCCTCAGCCTTGGGAGGAAGGCTCTCTCCTCTGCCCCAGCCCAGGTTCCTGTTGCAGGAGTGATGCCTCCACCTCAGCCCCAGCTCGAGGTGTCCCACAGCCGTGGATCCCAGCCCTGGATGAGCTGCTTTTCCCCTCCCCTGATCTCTGCCTCTCACGAGGCCAAGCCTGCTGGTCCCGGGCCAGGGAATCACTTTGTGCTCAATGTTTTGAAGCAGGCAGAAAGCCCCACTGGAACCCAGCGATGACTTGCGTGGCTTAAAGCTAACCAGATGCTCACCCCTGGGCTGCGGGCAGCGGGCTCTTAGATGCACAGGATCCGGCCTCTTGGGCTGCACAGGGGTCATTTGAAAAGGCAAAGGGTGAAGTTTTTATTGTCTCATCCAGCTCAGGACCATCCTCCAGGTGCTGGGATGGCAAGAGGCTGTTTTCTCATTAACACCTGAGAGATGAAAGCTCTCCCTGTGCCCGGCGTCCTCCCCGCAGCACGCGGCCGTGCATCCCAACTGCTCTGATAGCAGAGGGAGCTTCAGCCTGCCCCGTCCTGCTGTGGTAATACTGGTTATTAGTGGGAGGGTGTCCTGGCCCCAGCACTCACCCAGGTGACTCACGTCCACCCTGTCAGAATCCTTCTCTTTTCAGCAATTTTTGACTGCAGAATGCGAGTCTGGAGTATCGGTTTAATAAAAATAACGCTTT